ATCACGTCCTTAGAGTAAGAAGTTGTGAGATATATAGTTGTATCAACATTCCTTCATTTTTACTGATTTCTAATAAAACGTTATTTGTGGGAAAACTTTTAATAAATTTCATTTAAAAATTAGCTTTACATTTTTACGTCTGTCTATGATCTCACAACTGACAAACATTACTTTACTTGTAAGTTGCATTCAGAAAATTAGATTCTAAGTAGATATCTATTAATTTAGACAACGCATATCGTACAGTTCTAATAATAAAAGAGTTGCGTTGGCGAAGAAATTGCAAAATGCAAAATATAAAATATAGTAATGGTAAAAAGCTCGCCAAATTAAAATAATTCTATTGCTAAACACGAAAACAGTAAAATAATTTTATTGATATAAACATGAAAGCAATGTTTTCGTGTTTATCAATAACATTATTTTAATTTGGCGAATTTTTCTCCATTACTATATTTTCTATTTTGCAAAGCATATCGTATATCACACATACGTGTGTTATGTAAAGAAAACCCTATACATAAAATTAACGAGTGAAAGACCTTAACTAGTTTTGGGTTGTTGTTTTTTTTGGGGGGAGGACATTTTCTTGGTGTATATTCTATAAAATTATTATTCTTCGGCGGTACTTTTTCGTTTCAGTTTTATTAAATGTATTAGGTTTATCTCAGGGCATTCAAATAACGTATCCTGAGAATGTTAAGCTTATCTCTGAATACATAACAAGGAACCTTTCAGGACGAAGCAATCAAAATGTTTTTTTTTCCTAAAATATTCTTTAGGATGTCCACTTTTCAGTTAAATAAGATTTGGTCTGATGGTTTCATCCGAGCACACGGAACAAGAAATGTATATATCTGGGTTTTTTTTCGCAGGTCTTATAGTATATTAAGACTGTAACAAATGGCTTGATGACTATGCTCTTCGCAGAAAATCATGCGATACCCTCTCTCAGTAAAACTTCCACAAACGTCTGAATTATCGTTTTCCCAAAAGGATTTCTACTTTCCCTGCACTCCATTTCGCCGTCGAAATTTTGATTTCGAAAACTGCCTTTCCATAATCTTGATAAAAAAAAACGTATATTCGCTCCAATTTCTTATCTTTTAGTGCTTTTGGACAACTGAATCTGAGTACGTGTCAGAAAATGGAAGCATTGCAACACAAGTTTTTGTAATTTGTTATTATTGCATTGCTTTATGTAATTTAAATTAGTAAGTCGTATTTCGTCAATCATGAAACCATGGTCTACACAATTTTAGATTTTATTGAAAGTACGCAATAGATTATGCTTGTGTAGTTAGTTTTATAAAATAACACTAATACTACATTATATTCCAATCAATCAAGTTGAGTGAAAATCGCAGATAAACATAAGAGCATTGAAATTTTAACAAGTAAAACAATATGCCTAGTTCTACAAAGTGAAAGTAAGTACTAGAAGTAG